TCCAAATTTTTGTTTTCATTAATGGATCAGTTAAATCAATTGAATATTTTCCCTTTAATATCCTTCTCGATTCAGTGTTTCGTGGGTGTGGATGAAGCGAAGGATCATACCCACACCCACACCCAAGGACGGCTAATATCTACATCAATGCATCTCGCCCATTCTAGATTCAGAGTCACATCTTTTCTATCTACTTATCCGTAAAAAGGCTGATCTGATTAACTACTGATTGTAGTATACGGATCGCTGAACCGAGATGTTCAGACAAGTAACAGTATGTGGACGCAAAAGCAAGACATGACAAAGAAAGTGTTCCCTCATATTTATTTCATTTAAGAAGCTGTGGTAGAAACAAAAGCAATTGCAAGAATGAACAAAAAAATGAAGATTATTAAATGTATGATAATTTCTTTTGGAAGCCAACTGTTCCGTTCGTAGCGGTCAGCGTAAAGCATAAATTGTATTTCATCAAGTTCAATATTTTCTTCATGGACTGCAGCTGCAATAACTGTTGGATCGATAATAGCAGCAATTACCCCTGTCAGGACTGTAGCATTCACAGGAACGGTATAAAATTGATTTATATAACCACCAGGAATAGTTCCCCGTGACACTTTTCTTGTAAAACGGGGATAAATAAGAGGGGAGTTGAGTATAAATATTACGATATTGTAAATGGATAATGCGATATATAGAACGGAGAGAACGAATGAAACGACGGCGCATGGTTTTGCGTATATACTTGCAACACCAAATGAAAAACATAGAAGACATGCAAAAATTATCATTAATCTATATAATTCCAAATGTCCTTCGCGCATAGAATACTTCTTCTTCGTGACATTCGTTTGTTCAAGGATCGAGTTCATATTTCCTACAACATGATTATATGCGGCCGGAAAAGGATTGCAAATAAAAACATTGATACCTGTGGCACGAGGTTGACCAATAGTGATCGAGTTTTTCGTAACTATAGCCACTACTGCATTATCACCTATAGTATCTACCTGTATCTTATTTTCTCTATAAGGTACAACTGCCATTTTCTATTAGAAGTTTTCGTTGAGATTTTCAAGTGTGTGATGAATCTAAGATGAAATTATACTGTTTAAGATGCACAAGAAAGTAAAGAATAAGTTGATTGTGCTTATATATTTATATAATTAAAATCTGTTTGTTTAAAATTTTTCCCAACAGTAATCCAAAACGATTTGTTCGTTGCTATAGAAACTTCTAATTAGTATTTTCCGTCGTGTTGTAAGAAACATGAAAAAGAAAGAACTCGAAAGCAATGCCACAACTACATTAGAAAAAAATTAAACCTTTGAATTACCAGAAGCAATAGTTTGTGACGTTCAGGATTCATAACTTAGAATATTAATTTAACTAGAACTCTATTAGAATGAAAGATAGATATCATGCAGTACGTCATGTGTGAGTGTGTGCAAATCTTTTCTTTAACCACGTTCACATTCATTTCAAGAGAAATAGCTACGCTGGGTTTGTAGTCTGGCTCAACTTTTTTTCATATGTGTCGGCATGCGTAAATGCACGATGAGTTTCAAGTAGTTTCAAGTAAATTGAATCTACAAATATTCAACTTCCTAGGAAGAAAAATCCACTGCACCTCTTTCCTTCCAATGGATATTACTCCGGGCTTCACTTTTTTTTCTTATTGATTCTCATTTAACGATCAATCCATAGCAACTATTCGTTGCGAATAGATCCTATAGAAAAACAAGTAGAGAAACAAGGTATAGATGTAAAAATGCTATATCAGCTCAGTATCAGATTTTCACAATTACACTATTCATCTCCAACAACGCACATTCACGCGCATCTTTTGTGTTTGTATTTCATTTGAATTTTGGGTCAATTTTCAACATTAGAAATCAAAAGGAACTATTTATCAATAAAGAAAAAATAAATCCATAGATCATTTATTTAGAGGACTAGCGATGTTTCCCAAAATCGACAACTTGTTCATTTTACATTAGAAATGCTTCACACCGGATACAGTTAAATGCAAACGCTTAGCAAACGAAATTATCCTACACATACGCATTGTCAAAGAGAATTCGATAAACGGCATCGATAGTGTGTAGGTGTGGGTATAATTCTTCTCTCCATACATACTCACACCCTCAAGATTGGTTTAAAAAAAAAGAGAAAAAAAGTTATAATTCAGTACTTGTCAACTATGCTTGCATTCACTGTTTTTTAACTATTACCTAAGAGATAAATGTAGAATAGGTGATTACGTTTTTTCAAAACCTATTTTTAATATGTACTGAAAAAATCTTAACAAACTATATGAGATAACATTGACTATATTAAGCGTGTGTAAATGAGGTACGGAAGGTGTGTTCATTTCATTGGAATAATGTTTTTACATGAAGATGATGTAAAATTTCATGGTCTTTCAGAATATATCGTTAGTTTTCATAAAATATGTTCAACTCATAACAATGTAATCGAAATACAGAAAAAAAGCTTATTTTTTTCAGGGATACTTATATTTTACAAACAAGCATCTGTAATAAACTAATTTAAGCATATTTTTTCCTTTTGGTTTGTTTCACGGAAATAAGTAAAACCTAGAGTAAATCCCATTATTTTGTCTTTTTAAAGATCAGTAGAAATTAACTCAAATATTTCTGCAATTGAAAATTCGTTTTAATGAAGTTTTTCACAAAATTTACTAGATCGACTAGTATAAAATCTTAGAACTGAAAGATCAAGTCTCTACTGTACAAGTTTACGACAAGAAGTTTATTTCTCGTATTGTTCGCTTGAAGCGAAGTAAACTGTTCGATCAAAGTTAGTCATTAATTTTGAAGTTAGACTGAAAAAAACTCTCAGTGAGTGATTTTTTTCTATATACATCTACATCTAAATAACTAATCGGTAAGCGACCTTTATAAAACTATATTGCTTTTTTCTCTCTATTTAGATCTACATCGAAGCTGGTCATTGGTAAGTGATTATTCAGATTCACGTGGCACATGAATCAACAAGGATTAGTGATCTTTTGCGTATCTTGATGTTTGACGAAAAACTAAGTGAGGAGTAATTGATTTTATCGCTAATACTTGTTTTTTTCAATATTGTGCCTGCTCTCGATGAATAAATTGGAGCTGACTTTGGTATGAAAATTTCGAAAGGATTTTCCAATGGTCTTCATTTTTCTGAGAGATCTGTAGTTATGGGAGACATTTTTGGTATGCAGTCGAAGGACTTCATTATATGAAGTTCTTGATATATTCGTGCACTGCAATGAGCCGGAAAAATTAATGCATTAATAATTGGAATTTTAAACGCTGATTGCGAATTCAATATTTATTTTGCATAGAAATTAGATCTTGGTATCGCAAACCAGATTTTAAAGTTTTTAAAATTCTTATTTTGAATTTCTTGATCAGAAAGTCTGTTCAAAAATACAGATAGATATATCAATCGATGCATAATTCAATTCTGTACAAAATGGTCTATACGGTTTTGCCTTTGGATGCTTGAGAAAATGTGTAGGATCTCAAATAGTTTCAAAATTGCAGTGCAGCTTATCAGGCACTATTCGGATTTATCGATCTCGTTCTTGCATAGAAGTGTTTGCTACACAAACACAAATAGCAATTTTAAATGTTCAATTATTCTGCGCACGTTGTGTACCTCAAAATAGCTCGAAGAAAACTTTGTAACACCGTCATGTTTGAAGATTTAAGTGAACATGTGTTCAAAAGAATCTAATTTTTTTAAAATATTCTTCTATAGCGCATTCAAATAAATTTTAAAAGAATGCTGCAAAGAACAATATAAAAAAAAATATTTTTCAAGTATTCTTAATTCATTCCAAAACAAAATCAATGCCAAAATTAGTAGCTTGTAGATCAGCTGGAGTCTCGAAGGATTAAGCGTCATTCATATTACAGGAAGACAAATTTTTATATCCAGACGAAAGCCGAGATTCATTAAGTGCCATTGCGATTGCTCACTTTTGTATATTTCGACTCATATCCTCGAAATGTAGCTGCACTTCTCTTATTTTGTTTTAGTATTTATCCATGCTGACTAAGATGCCATCGAACTCTACAATTATATCACAAAAACGTAAGTATCAACGCTTTTATCAGATGTAATAAAAGGCATGCAACCTTACATTAGTACAATTGAGGAAGGCGTTCCAAGCGATAATCATCTATTTTAAGAAATCAAAAAGAATTCAATCATTGATTACCTATTGATATTACAAAAGAATAGAAAAAGAAATCATCGTAGTGCATAACTTGCTAGTTAGAAAAGTTACATTGCATTATAGAATCTTGACAAAAATAACTATGAAATCAAACAAAAGCAACTTACTTAGTACTTACCAATACATTGTTGGGTGATTTCATATAATTATATATGTATTTTCATGCTTTGAATCTGTATAGAAATGCTTTCAAAATCGAAATATTATCTTTTACTGTTTAGCATTCTTTGCATTGTATGTCTTTGTATTCCGGTCATCGTTGCTATTTATCAAAATATCGATCATTATATTTTACCTATTAAAATTAGTAAATATTACTTACCGTTATGTGACCATTCATCCATTATTATTGACAATCGTATCGTTTTCGATGATGCATCGCATTTTATTCATCACTATCCTGAATTCATCTGTTCACAAAATTTTCGTAATTTAGTTGATTGGGTATATGGTTGGCCTGAAAATTTATTTAACGAACATATGGAAAATACCATGAATGATAGTTATATAGCTGTGGCTGATCTGCCACACGGTAGTATCATCTATATTAAACCTGACGGTATTTCACGCTTCTTTCAAACAATTGATCCCCGTTTACAGAATCAATTTGTATTAATTACTAGTCAAAGTGAAATATCAGTAACAGAAAATGAACTTAATTATCTTGCAAGATCTGATTCCAAAATCATTCATTGGTTTGGGCAAAATGGATGTATCAATGCGTCGCAAAGTGAACGATTTACTAATATACCTATCGGTAAGAATATGATGCTGACTTTAAGTTATTATATGTTTGACTTTTACAGGAGAACGCCATAGTTTTTGAGAAGACAACACATAGATTTTGTGGAACTCACATATATTTTCGAAGAAAATGGTGAGTGTAAATTTAAAAGCGAGATTTTTGCGACTCCCCCCCCCCATTCAATGCTTATGAAAATCGAAAAAAAATCCAACGGCATCGAAATTTACCTTTAAACAAAACTTGATGTTTTCTTAGCAACCTTGACTTCTCTTAATTATGAAATCAAATTTTCTTGGTAATAATCTTTTACTGTTTCATTTCAATTCATCCAAACTTCAAAACATGTTTCATTACGGATTGTTTATTTACACGGAATATAGAAAATTAACATTTTCACTAGATCAAATTCAATATTTGAATAATTATCATATAATTAATGAATCGGTTTCATAGGCCTCAATTGTTTTGTAATGGCAGAAAGCATGCAAAGTATTCAGCGAAAGTATCCCAATTATACTCTTTCATCATTATTCAAGAAAAGTATTAACGAACCGTCGTATTACATTCAACCATTCGATATTACACAAAAGATTTTAAATAATAGTTATCATAGTTCTGATAAATTACTTCTACTCAATTTTGCTCCTGATATAGATCCAACTGGATTACGCGCAAAATTATGGAAAAATTTTGTCAAAATCAAACTTATTCATTTGCTACATGTTTTTATAAGCTCCCAGGAGTAGACATAAATAGTTTGCCAAGTATCTATGAGCGAAATCATCAATATCCGTTATGGTTATCACCTCATGATGATGGAATTGATTGTCATCGAACATGGGACGCTCTCTATCTAGATGCTATTCCAATTGTTTGACATCCGACGCTTGATCCGTTATATGCACGTTTGCCTATTATAATTATTAACGATTTGAATGGTATAGACGAGAAATTTCTTTGAAATAAATTATATGAAATAGCTTTAAAAAAAAGTTCACCAACCGCCTGTATACCGATATGAAAAATTAAGGAATTCCTTTTGGCGTGATATGATTTTTAGAAAAACAAGCCATTCTCCTACTAGCACTGATATACACAAAAATCGATATTGGCGAGCTAAAAATATTCAATAGCGCTAAATAAAAATTTTATTTGTTATAAATATTTAAAATAAAATAAAATAAAATGTTTAAAAAGGTCAAATATTGATTTAAGTATGAGTTCTCTTTATCAAACCATACCCGACACTTACAGCCTTGGTATATTTGGCAAAGAGCGAGCAAGGCTTGTCCATATCTAAAGCTCGAAATCCGAAAATGATCCACGGATGGATATCCGAGTATGATATAGCTGAAGTTCCCGGTAAATGAATTTGAACGGGTCACATAGGAGCCGATAAAATTCGATCGAGTTAAACTATGGTCAGTGATTGGCCATCTTTATAACCTTGGGCTGGGTCGTTCCATTACATCATTGTATCGAATTATCATATTACACTTTTGCAGGAGATTATAAATGCTGGATTGCCACTAAGTAGCGTTGTCAATCAAGTTTTCCCCACTGATATCATCATAGAACTGAGCGACCGACCTTAATCTAAGCCTACAATCGCACTTCCGCTTAGTCTTAGTGCATGAAATCTGCTGTCAAAGAGCGCAGCTTCTATGATAGAAAGTTTTTTGTAAAAAGTTATCCTTCAATTTCCAGCGTTCTTTGCTTCAGCAGTATTCAGACTTAGTTTTCTTCTGACACAAAAGCTTGAACTGAAATGTTGTTGTTGCTTTTTTATTTGAAAGAAACATAGATAAGATATTGTAGGTATCACATTAAGAGCACTATGTAAAAGTGTCTGATTATCCGATAATTACAGATAAATGAGGTGTTGCCAGTTGTTGCAATGTTTTTTTAAGTTTATCGGAAATTTTATTGTGAGAAAGATTCAGTTTCTTTAATGTTGTGTTATTTTTCGTTGCCATTAATAAAGCGCTCGCGTGCTCGTCAGTTATTTGATTTCCTTCCAAATCTAATTGTACTAGTCTCGAATTTGACTTTATTAAATTACATATTGTTTCAGGATTACTGATTTGGCAATGCCATACACGTAAATCGGTTAATGTTTTATTACTCATTAAACTATTATAAAGTATCTGAATTCCTTTATCACCAATTGGATTTCCACCGAAATCTAAATCTATAAGTGTTTGATTGTTCTCTAAGAAATCAGCTAAATGTTGGCACCCGTCTTGGTCAATTCTATTACAAGATAAGTTCAAGTAATGCAATTGTATATTGCCACTGAGCAAATCTTTGACTCCTACATTACTAAGCGAATTAACACCCAAATGTAGAGAATGTAGATGATGATTTAATGATAGCATTTCAGCTAGATATTGGCCAGCATCACACGACAGTTTTGTGTTGTATAAATTCAATTTTAACAAATGTTTATTGTCACGCAGTGCTTGAGCGATTCGCAAACAACCAACATTACCTAATGGGTTATAGCTTAAATTAAGTTCAGTAAGAATGACATTCTTCCGTAAGATTTCAGCAACAACCTTTGCTTTTTCTTTTGTTAAATGTGTTTTAGATAAATTTAGTATTGTTATTTCTTGTATTAATCGTTCGTTTAGCGTATGTTTTAACTCGTCAAAAGACAACTTCTTACCAGATAATTGAAGAACATGATCCGAGCATCCATTTAATACCTGCGACATTTTTATTATTCGATGTGCAGTTTTCTTGAAACCCGGTCGTCGTTTTCTTGATGGTTTTTCTTGTTGCTCTATGTCAAGTGCTGCTACTGATGGCGACTTTCGAGGTGCTGCTTCTACTGCCTTAACAATTCGTACAGATGACATGAGTTCAACAGAAGATGGTGGTTTTTCTCGAATATAAGTTGTATTTAGACCATCTAATGAGCGTAATTTTCCAACAACTTGAAAATGAAATCCTGGCATCAATATAACTTCGTCATCATCCGACCATGGAAGTCGTTTGCTACTATAGCAATCAATTTTAAAGACAGTACGCACACCACCCGCACCTAGAAACCTCGGCAATTTCATTTGATCCAATGATGGTAAACATGAACTGAAATTCCACCATGTATATATACCATCCTCTTTATACTCATCGGATAAGTCACATGAACGTACACCAAGATAAACTGTACAATGTCGGTCTATCGATCGTAGTTTGTCAAGAGCTGTTAATAATAAATTTAAGTATGGATACCATAGTTGAAGTTCTTCCGGCAGTCCACGACGAATTGCTTGGTTAAGAAGATAATAAATGCATTTGGTGTGTGGTGATTCTTCCAAAGTGTAGAGATGAATGGCTCCTAACTCATCTAGCGTCAAATCCCTGGTACTATCAGCATGCAATTGTTGCTTAATGATATAAAGCTTTGTCTCAATATCATCAATTAGTTGCACCAACGGCTTAATAGTTTGTTCTATTGGTAACAATGGTGAGTTTAGAAAATTAGAAAAAAATTGTTTGCCATAATTTGCAACATAAGGAATATGAAAATAACGCAAATCATTTCTATCATCATCATCATCTTCAGTATCAAACTGTGCATTGGCTCTTGCCATTGCTCTGTTGAAAAAAGAATAATGGTAGAGAATAAAAACTTACCAAACTTAAGCAGTATGAAAAAATATGACTATTATCGTTTGTAAAAATACATATTTCTCAGTCGACATCGTTATACAAAAATAAATCTTCAATTATTATAGAAATAATAGATCATGCAACATATAACGGGAAGGAATATGTTCAGCGCAAAAGTAATTACGGTGATATAAAATATTAATTTTGGAATTTGCGTCGTGTCGTTTTATAATAATAGAACAGGAAATTGAATGATATTGATAAATGAAGAGAAAACTTTCATTTGTAATTGATAATATTTGAGAAAAAAGAACAAGTAAAAAGAATAATTGCCAAATGAGATGCTATGAGTGATGTGAACGAGTGAAATCACAAACAACTAAATGAATATCATCTAAAACAGTTATTGATACGTTTACATATAGTATATATGGTACGATAAAGTTCTGTACGCGAACCTGTCGAAAAATTTAGACATAATGATTTTCAGGAATTATTTTTGTTAAAATATTCATAGATAATGTGTCATTAAATGTAATTGACGTGTATTCCTTTTTGCTAACTCATTCAAAAACTAAAATGTGAACATTTTCAAAGTCATCCAGTTAAATCTGTCAAATCCTTCAAGTTCAACCTGCTGAATTTCACTTTTAATAGCTGAAAAGAGAAAGTCGCTTAAATCAACAACAACAACAACAACAGTTGACACTGTTAGATCTTTGGTCTTGTTTGCGGGCCAAAATGTATCTCTTCCCATATTATACATGCATATACTTACACGTTCAGCCCATATTTTTATCCCACAAGGAATTGCACTAACAATATATTTTCTCCCAAAGAATCATACATAAAAAATGCAAGTTAGCACTAAAAAAACGAGAGGAATCAATATGTATATGTTAAATAAAGTCGAGAAATGAATATTGATGGATGCTATTGCTTTTTTATGTATTGCATTTACAAGAAGGCATATATTCTTGAATATAGACCCATTATTGATTCTTGTTTATTCTCTAAACGTCCTGTTTTCTTCATATTAACAATACGAAAACTCTCTAGAACGCAGGGTGTGAGTGTGGGTGTGGGTGCGGTTGTGGTTCTCTTATTCATCGAATGCCTTATTACACCCCGCACCCACACCCTCAAGCCAGGTAAATATAATTGTCCAGACAAATCAGCACGACGACGACTAAATTTATTACACGGCATAACATAATCTTCCATTACATTTGATAATTCATTAATTAATCTTGTTTGTTTTACTTTTTGAATACTATCTTGACTTTCATCTCGAAGTTTTTTAAATTCTGTATCAAGACTTTTCTTTGCCTTTTTCATAGATTCTAAACGTATTTTTTGATTACTGTCTATTTATTTTCTTGTTGCATTGAGTTTATTGTATCATCTTCATAAGGTAATGTATTTGTCGGTGTACTTACATAACATAAAGATGTTGCTATCGAACCAGATCCATCATTTTCTAATGCATCTTCATATATTGTTGGTTTCAATGATTTTTCTACTGGCCACGTATAATCAATCAGGTTTTTCGTTTTCAAGCAAAACAAAATTGATTTTCCTTCATTTTTTAAGTTCTCGTTGTTATTAGTAACTCGACTTAACGTTGATGTTGATGAACTATGTATTAACTGAATCATTTTCTGAAGTGCTGAGATAAGTAAACTTGATGTCGAACTACTTAAACTTTTTAGAGAAGCATCAGATGGATCGATTGATAGACATAAATTGTCAGAAACTTGCTTTAGTGAAGAATCGAGATCCTTCATTTGATCACCTAAATTTTTCGAACGAACATGCGACAGTACAAGTGAAAAATAGAACGCTTTTTTCTTTCAGTAAATTGATCTTTATCTTCACGTATTTCTGTTGATAGAGCATATGCTATAACTAATACTATGCGCTTGGCATTGTTTGCTGAAGTTGTGTTTGAATGACCCCATGTATAAACAGCTATTGCTGTAATACCAATTGGAATATGAGAACTCTCGCAAAATGTTAATCCTTCTAATACCATCTGACCAAGATGAAATGTCGATGGTTGATCGAATGATTTTAAAATGACTTGACTGCCTTCACTACGATTGCCAAATCTTCCAACGGCTACACGACACTCGAGTTTTCGCAACGTTTCCAGTATACTAATCATAGCTTCATGAATATAATTGTCATAAATACTCATTGAACCACTATTATCGATCATAATAACCCATTCAAATGTAATAGGATTTGAAAATTTATTAAATAGATCACTTAATTTATTTCGAACTTCACCACATATTATATCAATCACAGAATTAATCGATCGACAAGATGCCAATTTTTGATACGACCTTGTGTTTGATTGAGAATTGAGTAATTCTTCTAATTTTGTGTTATATACAGCCATTGGATTCTTTGTTTCCTATAATAAGATCCAGCTTGATACATGCCATAAATATTTGCATCATTCAACATTTGACGAATTTTTTCTTTCGTTGGTATTAGATTAGGCATATCCTTTCCTTGTACAATGTAGCTTACTGCAGCTATTGCGCCTACATTTACTACAGTTCCGCCGCTTGGATAGGGTAGATTCGGAGCTGGTTGTGAACGAGGTGTTGGGTTACGAGGAGGCGCACGATTTGGATTGGGATTTGGAGAAGGTTTAATATTATCTAGAATTACAATTTTCGGTACAAAAATCTTTGGATTTTCTTTGTTTTCTGAATTATTCTCTTCAACTACTCCATTAGGAAGAAAAGAGTCAAGTGCTGGTGGATGAAATTTCTCTTTTTCCTTATATTCGTTCAATATTTTCCTTTGTTGGGTGTGAGTGGGGTGGGTCAGGCAACGAGAATCACTCACGCCCACACCCACACCCTTGGATCCTGATGAATCCTAGGATCCACCAGGCATTGGTTTTTCTCCCTTGATGAAAGCAATAATTATTATATTTCTTTGCTCAAATATCATAAACTCTGCGGTAGCTATTCTTTCATTAGAGGATCAGCGACGTTTTCGTCGCGCTAGCTTGTTAATTCTCTTGTATCAATGCCAGCAGTAACTTTTCTTTTCGATTTCGCCAGGCATTACAACCATGTATAATGGCGACGATATACTGCTTTTAAGTCATACATAAGCTAATAAATTACCCGAATGTGGTCTAAAATGTCCTTTCAAAAATGTCCCTGGTTGTTCGTCCTCAGAAAAAAATGTTCCCCGATATTTCGTCCTTGAAAAAATGTCCTTCGTTAAATTGTCCCTTATTCTTTAATTTTAGTTGGAGAACTGTGTGTTAGTGAAATATAGATGACGCCTTAAAGAAAGAAATATATCGGCGCATATTTTAATTGTATATTGCAGAGGATACGACTACCGTATAAATAATTCAATAAAGACGAGAGAATATATCGTTTAAGTGTCATTCGTTGTTTTGTGTAATATATTTCCGTAATCTTAAAAAGATATTTTTAATGGGATCTAATAAGTTGACAACTGTTGATGAAACTGAATGTTCATCGTCATCTCAATCACCTGAAAATTCATTTTTACAACCAAGTCCAGCTAAATCAACAATACAAAAACACACTCGAATAAAGGAAAACTTATGTTAATTGTTAATGGTTATTATTTCCAATTTTAAAATTTTAATAGAAAGACAAATTAAAAGAACTTTCTTTTTTTTGTCGCAAATGAAAAATATATTAGAATTTTATTCACTTTAATTGATTATATCACATGATTGATTTTATGAATAAGAGTAGTTCATGTTTTACAGAAAGCACATCTTGAAAATGAAAGACATTTTTTCGGAGGACAATATCTCTAAGGATCATTTTTCAGGGACATTTTTTCAAGGACGAAATATCGGGGACATTTTAGACTGTTACCCTTTGAGTAATATTTTCAGTTGTTGCTTATTATTTTGCATAGAATTATAATGTAAAAAAACAGCTCACAAACATTTTATAAAGTCCCTGGCAGCCATGGTATTTATGTACTCACGCTTGGCTCTATTGTTTCTCATTTATAGATAGAGATACAGAAGGGATCGATTCGAATGCTTTGCATGACATTATACTATACATTGAGCCTATTTAATGGGTAACATTAATATTTCTTTGTATAAAGGGCATTGTGTCGGTAATGGTCTTCTCTTTTTAATTTTCTTTTAATTTCTGTTATATTTAAAGGGGAACCGAGTCTAAGCCTTCATCAATCAATATTTTGACTGAATTTCTTTAAAGAGAAACTTATAGTCTGTATTTTCATTTATTTTAAAAAAACACAAGAATGATATTTTTACCTAGGATAGCATTAAAATTGTTCACGCCAAAAATGAAAATAATCAGGTGATGAAAAATAAACACCAAGCGTGCTTTTAAATTCTCGTATTTTGATTTTCAATTGTTGTTTCCACTTCATATCATTATAGCAAACAATTCGATATTAGACAACAAGTCACTATTGATATTGTCTTCATCGTCAGGTTGTTCTCATTACGTTAAGTATCTAATATAAATCAAAATACAGATTATTTGATTTTTTTGAAAACCTTTCCAATATTTTCATTGATAAAGCGCTTTCGCATGGATTATGCAAAATGGTTGCAATTTAATATGAATCATAGCGTACACATTGTCTCCGTTTGCATATTGCTAGAATAGAAAGAAGATTAAAATGCGACCACTATTTGGCAGACCAACATTATCTTTCAGATGATCTATTTCAAGTCGAACATTTTCATTATTGGACTTTTGTGCCATATTTTACAACTTAAATCGTATGGTTTGATAGCGCCAAATGTTGAACTTCAAACACAAAAAGGAACAATATATGGACGACAAACTCAATCTTCGATTGAATATTTAGGGTAAGATGATAAGAAGACAGTATGAAACAGGGGATCAGCTATACTTTAGTCGTGTAATCAAATATTAATCGAGTAAATTTAGGACCTAATAGAAATCCTGAAATAAATATGCATATTTTTCATCCTCACTCTCATCCTACAATTTTGAAAAGTAATCAACATCTTTGAATATTTTATCATATAGAATTCAATATGCAAAAGTCAACAGATGGAAACCTTGAATTGATCTTGCGTCGGATACTTTTCCTACTGGCACATTTAATGCAACTTCATTTGGTTCATGTTGTCCTTAACCAACTGTAAAAATATATATAGACAGACAAGATGAACAATGTTTGTATCTAAATATTTTTACTCCAATCAATGTATCAAATCAATCGTTATTACCAGTTCTCGTCTGGATTCATGGTGGTGCTCTTCAAACTGGTTGTTCATCACAAGATATTCCTACTATATATAATGGAACAAATATTATCGCTAATTCTCTTCAACCGGCTATTATCGTAACAATTAATTATCGACTAGGTGTTCTAGCTGATTTGTATTTACCAGCTTTAGTTGAAGAAAATTCACCAGACCAGCCAACAGCTGGTAATTATTATTATCTAGATATGTTATCAGCATTACACTGGGTAAATAAAAATATTCGCGATTATGGCGGCAATCCAAAAAATGTTTTATTATTTGGAGATAGTTCTGGAGCTAGTGCTGTTGTTGACATTGGTGCATTAAAAGGATCAGCCAATCTTTATCAACATATTATATCAGAATCAGGCGGAGCTGGTCATTATATATATTATTCAAATGTAAGTGATGCAATCCAAATATCAAATAAGATTGTGCAAAACATGAATTGTACACGTGAAAATAATGTACTAATTCTTGCATGTTTACGTAATTCTTCAATTAAATATTTGATTGCGGCATTCGGTCGTCGTCTGGCAAAACCAATTATTGATGGATATTTTTTCCCTTATCATCCACTTTTGGCAATAAAAAATGGTTTATACAATCCAAACATTACAATGATTATAGGGAACAATGAACAAGAACCTTTAATGTGTCTTGAAAATCCAGATATGAATTCAACTGAGGCTATTTCAGTGCTAAGTCAAACTATGCCAATACAGTGGTTACCACTGACCGTCAATAATTATCAGCTGCATAGTTGTTCTTCTAATAGAAATGCTAGGAATCGTTGCTGTGATGTTGCTCGCTTATTAATAATAGATCAGCTTTTTGATTGTAATGTTCAACGAATATACAATAATTTATATATGAAATATCAACAATCGCATAAGCTATATTGGTATCATCTAGATTGTAATCCTGGGATATATCCCGAATTATCAGTAGAAGAAGATGCTGGTGTATGTAGTCATGTAGATGAAATCCCATTCGTTTTCGGAATCGTCAGTTCCTATAATTCAATGAATACCCATAACTGTACATGGGATAGTCAAACACGAAGTTTTTCAAATCAAATCATATTCACATTGGATCAGTATGGCTCGAAATGGAGAACCGTTACAACCATGGCCACAGTATTCTCCAGCAGCAAAAAAATATTTTCAAATTACACCCTATCATGACTTTTCCCCTGAACCATGGTATCGCGACTGTTCTTTATTTGATCAACTTGAAGATGAACAAATACGTATTATGTTTTCCATAACTAGTAGTGTACTATAATATAGTATAAGCTATCTTCTGATATTTTCAAGCGCTCTATTTCACATGGAAAGGATGATCGTCAATTAAAATAATAAAATATTTTTTTTTATTTCAATCTTCACTATGTTTTATCAAGGAAATGTGCTAAAATGAATAGGGAAGCCTTTTAACTGTGGTTGGTTTGTGAATGAGATTTCTGAAGATTAGCAAGAAGTGACTGATGGAGAAAATATAGGATATTGTTACATGCGCCTGTCTAGTTAAATAAGATTTCACGACTAGATAAAAAAAAGTCACAATAGATTCAATCATGTTTGAAAATGAAATAGAGTAATATTTTCATACAAGAATATTCGTTTGGTTTAATTGTTTTATTATCGATTTATTTGAAACTTGAGGGTGTGGGTGTGGGGACGTCTGTAATATTTGTATTTCAAACGAGATATACTACCGTTTCTATAATTCAATTTCGTTGAGCATGATCACGATCGAAACCAACCATCAATGAAAGTCGAACGGTTGAAACTTATCGCAGTGATAGATAATCATACACCGTGTATTTCCTTAACATTTCAAGTCAAACAGGCTGTTAGAGAGCAACTCCATCATATTCATGTTCGCATACATTCGTCTATTAACGAGCGTACAAGATCGTTTTTCTCGTTCTCCTCGATAATACCACATGTATAGGTCTCTGTCTTAATCAACTGAATCACTTCGCATTGTTCAAAATATTTTCAGGTTTAATGCTCGAATTATGAATGTCATTTTTCTTGATTTCAATACAAACGGCTTTGCTAGTTTTTTTTCTGTGCCACTTTAATAAAATCTTCAGCTAATCGATGCATTCACTCTATCAATATACCTGCGCATGCAAGACGTTTCACAACACCTCCAACTCCATCGACCGTATATACCTTTCCTATGAGAAGTTGCGAAAAGCGCCAACTCAATTTAATTTTACGTTCATTAGTAATTCCTATTAAATGACAAAAATGAAAACGCTGTTTAAACTGTGAAACAGCACCGTCTGAAAAACAATTTACTACTTTAACATTCCGAAGAAGTGTTTGAATATTATTTAAAATAATTTTCAAAGTTGCATTGACAACAAATTTATCGTGCGTTACTTCCAACGATGGAAAAGTAAACGAAAGATTTTCATTTTTAGACCAAACCAAAGCAATAAATATACCCAAGGGCTTTATATTCAAATGAACCGTTTAAATATCGTCTCGCTCTTTTATATTGAAGTGCTCCGAAAAATCGATTTGCAATATGATGTATTAATCCGAAACGTTCGTCTTTCATTTTTCAAAATACTTTGACTGCTCTCGTTAAATATATGCATGACACATAAAACAAGTAACGCTCATATCTCGATTCGTTCACCCTTTTCTGAAAGATTGATAATTGAATGTGAGAAGACTATCTTGATTCTGCCGTTCAATAAGAAACCTCTTTTTACAGAAACTTTAATAATGAAAAGAAAAGCTTAGTTAGTTTTTGACATCTTATAGATATGATATTAAAATACCACGTGATGAAGTCCCGACAGGACACAAACGATCTCGGTGCTGGATCGAAGCGCATCGTGTGAT